GAGAGACAGTTACCTTCAGGAAGGAATAGAGGCAGATGGACATCCAGTTGGTCAACATCTTCTCAACGACCGTCTCTGTTCTGAAAGACAAACAGGCAAGCCGAGACATGAGCCGGACAGACAGCTCCTCCCAGCGAAGGTATAAATCTGAGCCATACGTTTCTGATTTCATACATATTTTCTGTTTTTTTATGTCGCAGTGAACGCTGAAATTATCATTATGGCTATCTTTCCACTTATTTAGGGATTTGGTCATGTTCGCCCAAAATAACTACCTACAGCCGTTCCTAAGGTGGGGGCCAGCGGCAAGGCCTGCTTCTACAAAGACTTTGACTGGTTGTAATAAAAATGTTGGGCTCTTTTTAAGGAACTACATCTAAACTTTAAACCTGAAAAGACTTCCTGTTGAGTTCTAATGTGACTGAAGTTGCTTTTGCGTTGCATACCGGCGCAGCATGAGTTTGGGGTTCTTGGCAACATACTGCTGCACCAGGTCCTGCAGCAGGCTCTTCATGACTTCAGTGAAGTATTCCAGTTTGTCGTGCAGAGCCATGGTGAGCAGGCTGGCCACGTAGCCACGATCTCGCTGGGAGAAACCCTGCTGGGCCTCCAAAGTGTGGATGAACTGAGACACACACACAGAGGCATATAGAAAAAATGTCACCTGTGAGTCTTAGACGTCATATGACCATTCTCCTGCCTCCTCCCACTATCTCCACTCACCCTGGTGAGGAAGAGTCTGTTATTGAGCAGGTTGTTGAGCTGCTGCAGGCCCTGCTCCACAGTCTGCCTCCTCGACTCAGGCAGATCTAGCTGACGACTCAGTGGCGCCGTCTGCTGGCCAGGGAAGAAAACTCTCTCTGCGTATATCCTGTAGTCCAAGAGGGGGACTCCTGGTCCTCCCACATCACTGCTCAGATCCATCATCTCTGTCATCAGGTCTGAAGGACAAGAGGTATACGAGGAGCAAATGGCAGCTTGAGATTTCAAAAACTTAAAGAGTTTAAATTTAAATGTATCCAATCAAACACAGAGGGCTCAGTAAATCTTTAGTTTTAACATTTTTGGGTAGATCTGCCATCAGAAATCCAGATGAATAAGAAGTCCAACACAATACGAAGGTTTGCAGTTTATTTAAAATGTGTTTTCATACCAGTGAACTCTTTGCGGCACTGATCTCCCACGTTGATCTCCAGAGTTTCTAACTGCAGTAAAACCTTTTTATAATCTCGGAGAGCCTGTTTACTTTTCCTCCTGCACAAAGCAAAACACAACAAAACAAAAACACATTAACTGAAGATTAATGACGAGATGAAGAATATTCTCATAAAAACATTGACTCGACTTTTAAAATGTCACTGCAGACAAAAACGAAGTGATTGTCCTTTTTGTTTTTTAAGCACAAAAATACAAATAAAGCCGTTTGAGAGGAAACAAAATCCAAAACAAGATGTCACAACAGCAGAGACAAGTCGCCTAAAAACACACCTGGTTTCAGACACAGGTGGATACTTACCTGTACATGAGGATGATGACCAACACTGACAGGATGATGACAGCTGCTCCTGCCCCCAAACCGATCTGAGCAGCCAATGGGACAGCAGGCAGCAGAGAGTTGCTGTCGTACTGAACCAATCCCAGGTCCACCTGCAGGTTTCCCATGAAAACCTAACAGAAGACATGCAGACAGAGAGTGAAAAAGGCTGAGTGTGAGAATGAGTAAACCACTGGCCCTTGCATACCAACCGAGCTGGAAAATCCCTAAAAAGCATCTCTGCCTTGGATATGAATCCCTGTAAAAGCCAACAGCTCAAAAACCAAAGAGCACCTTGAGGCTAGGAAGCTCATTGCTGTCATCCACACTGAGTGGTTGGACCTCTGGAGGGTCACAGTACAAGTGAGTGCTGTCCAAAGTTTTCACGTCACACTCCTGATCTCCAAGCCAAGCCTTCACTTCCTCTTTGGACATGGCTCTGGTCAGGTCCTGGCCCTGACGGACGAAAAGAGACAGAAACGGAGGTTAAATCTGAATTTA